AAGAGTGTTCTCTTTCTCTGCTTGCTACATATTACCATGCATGTAAAGCAGCCCTGAGCAGGGGACTTTTCTGTATTTTGGAGGGTTTTTTGTAATTCCGCAGTGCATTTTAATATGCCAGATGCTTCACCATCACCTCCTGCTGCCTTACAACCCCCCCTCCTCCCCCCTGAAGTAGGTTGCTGCTACTGCTGTTTTATAGATGCTCACCTGCATTCGGAGGAAGTCATCGTCCAGGGAAGCTTCCCAATGAGCTCATAGCTTAAAAAAAAAAAAAAAAGGCTTTCAATCCTGGTCTCCCAGTTAATCAGGTTGCATTGAGTTAACTAATAATAAATCTGTTTAAAGGAAATGATCTTGGGGCTTCACAAACCATTGATTTTTCTGGACTTCTTTTTTTTAACGTTAGGATGTCAATCGTAACCAAGAGGATGTCCGGCGGGCGGGTGATAGCCGGGAGGGCCCAGAGTTTGCAGTTGAAGATCAACCTGATTGAAAGGTATTTGCTCTTTTCCCTGTTTTAAATTTTTAGAACTCTTAGGAACGTGTTTCTTGACAGATAAATGCCCATCTCCTGTAAATCAATGGATTGAGGCCCATAGAGCTTTATAAATATTTGAACGTATTCCATATAAAATAATTGCGTGTGGATGTATTTTTAGATATTTGGAAATCTTTTCTAGAAGCTTATGCGAAGATCTGCTTCCAGTGTTGTTATGTTTCTGTTCTCTCTCTCTCTATATATATATGTGTGTGTGTGTGTGTGTGTACATACATGTACATACATATACATGCACGCACACATACGCATGTATATTGGGGGTTCCTTTTTTTAAATTAGTGGCTGGATTTTGAGGGATTGTTTTCCTTTTTTTTCCTGGTTTGTCTCCTTCCTTCCTTCCTTCCATCCTTCCTTCCTTCCATCCATCCATCCATCCATCCATCCATTTGGTTATTTAAAAGAAGGAATGTGTTTCTTGGCAGGCTGGCAGTGCTCGCCTAAGCAGAGTGACTCCCTGGTAAGAGCACTGAATTCAGAAGGGTTTCCCTCTACCTAAGATGGCACCGTTAGTCAAGCCAAGTAATATCAGCTCAACTCTGCCTGCTAGAAAGTGCCTTGGAGGTGTTTCCGCCTCTTTGACTTGAATGCTTTTGCTGCCGCTTTTGGGACTCTTCGTTCTTCCTAGAAGAGGGTTCTTTTGGTGCACTGTGATTTCACTGTAAGGGGGCAGGTGAAGACTCTGGCGACTAAGCCAGCGCCCACTTAACCACCTGACCAGACAGGGCGGATTTGAAGCGTGTGCCCAGTGTCTCGACGCAGAGAGGTCAAGAGAAAGGTTGTGGCAGCCATGCAGAGGTCCCTGACCTTTACAGACGCCTTTGGAATTCTGACACCGGGTGATGGGCACAGCCACAGAATGGCTGCCGCAGGGGGCAAAGCCCAACCACACAATGGGTGCGGTCAGACGGCGTGCTGGGAACGGTTTAAACTGCTCCAGCCCTCATGCGGTCTTTTTTAACCTGGAGAATCGCGATCACACTCACCTCCTTGCTCCGGATCGCTGCGCAGCCACATCGCTCCCCACCGTCCACACACGGGAGCGTACGTCGGTGTTCTTTTTCTCTCTCTCTCTCTCAGTTTGGGCATGCACACAGGCAGCCATCTGTAGAACTAAAATTTCTGCACGTGTGCAGAACAGTGATTTTCACTTCAACCCGACTGCTGTAACACTTCCCTTTAAACGTTTACCCCGAAAATGGCCTCCCTGAGATCCCGAACTCGTCTAAAGGCTACAACTAGGCCCCGTTTAAACATTGTTTTTAATAACACGGTGGCGGACCTCCGCCTATGCGCACACCGCCAACGCTTTAAAAAATGGCGGCCGAAAAGCGGAAGCCTCGGGCAGCTTTCAAGCGGGGAGGGGGCTTAAACCAGAAGTGGCTCGACACCAGAGGAGCGATTGGATGTCAGAAGAGTGTGGCTGGAATCGGAGAATCAGGAAAACACCACTTGGGGACCTGGTATCAAAATACTCCGGGTTAAAGCGGTCTTGAGCTGGAAAGCGACGGCTGGGGGCAAGAGGCAGATGTTGACTGTGTGATCGCGCAGATAAAATCCGTTTCTGAGGCGGGTCGAAAGCGGACTAAATGGCCCGTCTGAACGCACCCAATGTCAGGGAGGAAGGTTATGCCTTAACTCCAAGAGTAACATTTCCGGCAGAAGCTTTCCTTATCAGGACACCTTTTTAATAAAAGGCATTTTATACAACAATCAACATATTGTTTAAAACGGTTTTCTTGCATACACATAGTTGACCTTCAGTCACACAGTGAAGATTCTTGTGCTGTGGCGGCACCTGCTGCCCAAGTAATAATACAATGGGTCTCCAGTGGGCTGTCAGGAGCCCTGCTGGGTAAGAGCCCCATCTGGCCCCACCCACTATCCAGAAGCACCTGGCAGCCACCAGGGGAATTGTTGGCAGGGGCCCCAGCGCCCTCGGACACAACGTTGGGGACCTCTGCAGTACTGGTCTTACAGTGACTTCCCTGCAAAAGCAGTGGCATCACTTTCTCAGGCCATAGGTGTATTCATAGTGGCCTTGGCACTTCACAAGAGTGGCACAAAGAGAGGTCCCCGTACTGAGGGGCTTACAGTCTAAATTCCCGCGAAACAGACAACAACAACAGGAAGGAGGGAAGAGAGACAGCTGCTGTCTGCTGTATACGTAGCACAAGTTATATGACCCGAGTTGGTCATCCAAGGGGTGTGGCTGGAAAAAGGGGAATGGATTAATTCTGCAGGCCGTTGGTCACTGCGGAATTGTTGAGTTAAAAACCCTTCAAGAAAATTCCCTATAAAGATAGATTGTGCCCCTGTGGGATGGGGGAAATTGAATCCATCGGACATGTGCTATTGTACTGTAAATTCCACTATGACATCCGTGTTGTTTATATTGAACCCGTGTTGGACCCCGTTTTGGGCCAATCTGATGAGCATAAAATTAGTTCTTTATTGTCTTTGCATAATATAGAAATTCTGGAACCTGTAGCAAATTTCTTTTATGAGGTATCTAGGAGGAGAGGCTCATATTAAGGCAATTCGGAATGTGATACCCCTCCAGCCTATCTTGAGGCTCTATGCTGCATGTGTATTTGATATTTTATGCCAATAAAGGTATTGTATTTGATCTTGAGTTAAAAACCCTGAATTGCTTCTGTATTTCAGGTTGTATGAACTGAACATTGAGGATGCGAACGATGTCGATTGGGAAGTTCTCTCCAGTATTATAGGGTAAAACCCCACAATTTGAATGTGGAAACATGCACACAACTCTCAGTCTCACTGACGAACCAGTAGGCTTCTGTGTAACTATGAAGTCAGATTGCTTAATGGCTTGTTTTAGGGTTTGCACTTAGCCGCACGGTTGCTGTCATGTGGGGAAATAAGCGCTGAGTCAGTGCTTGATCCCTCTGTCAGCCACATGCTAATCGTTCCTCCCCACCCCCAAGTTCAAGTAGCTGCCAACGTTTTCAGCTTCACTTCAGCTTATGAAAAAGAATATAAGACAGTTCTGATTGAGGCCCACTTAAAGGCAGCGAGGGCATTTCCAGAGTGAGCAAAGGGACAGCTTAAAAATGCTGGTTGAGTTCCAATCAGGAGCTGGGCAAAAGCCTGCAAGGAAACCTGTAGAGCTGGTCCTGCTGGGGGTTAGAAACAGAGAGGGGGACAAGAGGGAGGGGACCTTTCAGCTCCCCCTGGCTTTAAAGGGGCTATACCTTCTGCTGTCCTTCTGGAGGTCATAGCCTGCTTCCTCCTCCTTAATTTTATTTAAAACACTTATTAGCTGCCTGTGTGTACCTTGTGGCACCCAAGGCGGCTCATGCATCGGTGTATGGTGTAGTGCTTAAGTGCGCGGACTCTAATCGGGGAGAACTGGGTTTGATTCCCCACTCCTCCACTTGCACCTGCTGGATGACCTTGGGCAAGCCACAGTTCTGATAAGAGCTGTTCTTGAAAAAGAGCAGTTTCTGTCAAGAGCTCTCTCAGCCCCACCTACCTCACAGGGTGTCTGCTGTGGGGAGGGGAAGGGAAAGGAGATCGTAAGCTGCTCTGAGACTCCCTTGGGTGGTGAAGTAAAGGTAAACGTTCCCTTGCTCGAAAGCCAGTTGAATCTGACTCTAGGGTTGCGGTGCTTATTTCCGTTTCAAAGCCGAAGAGCCAGCGCTGTCCGAAGACGTTTCCGTGGTCATGTGGCCGGCATGACTAAACGTCGAGGCGCACGGAACGCTGTTACCTTCCCACCGAAGTGGTGCTTATTTATCTACTTGCAATTTCTTCCTCTCGAACGGCTAGGTTGGCAGGAGCTGGAACTAGAGACGGGAGCTCACTCCGTCATGCGGCACCCAGGTCTCGAACTGCTGAACTACCGACCTTCCATAGCCTGCAGTTCAGCGTCTTAACCACTTGAGCCACCGCAGCTCCTTGGGTAGTGAAGGGCGGGGTATAAATCCCATCTCTTCTCTCTTCTTCTAAAGTGCCATCAAGTCACAGCTGACATAGGGTGTCCCCATAGGGTTTTCAAGGCAAGTGATTAAGCAGAGGTGGTTTGCCATTTTGCCTGCTTGTCCAAACTCTTCCTTGGTGGCCTCCCGTCCCAAGTACCAGCCCTGCTTAGCTTTCGAGATGTGATGAGATCTGGCTCCGCTATACCATTCCACATCCCCCAAGGGGGCTTACAGTATAAATAAAACAACAGTTATAAAGCACATAAAAGTCACAGTTTAAAGACTCCCGTTAGGACCGCCGATAAGAAAAGCCAAATCAATCAAAATGCAGTCCTAAATAAAACTTGTCTTCAACGGCCTCCTGAAGATTGACAACGGGGGGGGGGCAGGCGCACCTCCCTGGGGACTGGGAGGTCGTTCCCTAATCGTGGGGCTGCCACTGAAAAGGCGCTCATCTTGTGTGTCCACCAGATGAGCGTCTTTGATTGGTGGGGCAGTCAGGAGGGCTCTCCCTGCGACCTTCATTCCCGGGCAGGGACGTGTGGGAGAGGATGGCCCTTTCCCTGGGAGGTTGTAGGGGAGGCCTCAGGTTCAACCAGGCCCCTCTGTGGATCCCTCCAGGATCCATTCTGCGTAGACTCCAGTAGCTAATATGACTGCAGACTTTCAGTGATCTGGAGCACTCTTCTCCTTGCCCCAAATTGTCATGATGGATTCCAGCTTTTTGCCGTTTTACCATTAGCTGTGTGATTTCTGCCATATGAAACGGGGTGTGTGTGTGTTAATCTGACGAAGGCAGTTTCGGCTGAATCAGAGTTCTGACACCGGCAGGGGTGCATTGGGATCCCCACATTCAAAGCAGCCATAAGGAGGCCAATTTCCTTGACCCTTTTGGACAGTAACTGTTTTATTATGGAGCAGGTATTCTTAGCCAGTGCTCTGCTTTATTATATGGGTGATATTCCACAGCTTGTGGCGGAGGTGTGTGTGTGTGTGTGTCAGTGACAGCCAGTTTGGTGTAGTGGTTAGGAGCGCAGACTTTAATCTGGGAGAGCCAGGTTTGATTCCCCCACATGCAGCTGCTGGTGTGACCTTGGGTCCGTTACAAGTTTTTTCAGAGCTGTTCTCTCAAGGGCAGTTCTGGAAAGAGCTCTCTCAGCCCCACCTACCTCATGGGCTCTCTGTCGTGGGGAGGAGAAGGGCAAGGAGATTGTAGGCCACTCTGGGACTCCTTCGGGTAGTGAAGGGGCTGGGTATAAATCCGATCTTTTCTTCTTCTATTGCACAGTTAATTGTTGTCTGTTTCCCCCCCCCCCCCCCTCCAGATTATGTCCAGAGGAGATTTTACAAGCTCAAGGCTACTCGGGTCCCCTGTTGGAACCGAAAGACCTTTCCCGGTGAGGCTTTCCCCCGGCTCATGCTGTCTGGGTGTCGTCCCCCCCCCATTCCCCTCCCTTTAATCAAATCGAACTCAAGGCAGCTTACAAACACACCTGCACATAATCCTTTGCCGGGGAGAAAGGCCTGCTGGCTCCCCCGCATCTCACGAGATTGCCTGCAAAGCAGTCATAAAGGGTTGGCCTCTACCACTCCGAACAGGTGAGTGCAAAGCCCTCCCCCCCCCCCCCCCGGGGGGCCTTTTTTGCAGGGGGAAAGGGCCCGAGCCCAGAGCGTGGGGAAAGCGATTCCGGTCGCGGCCCGTGCTGATTCTGTGTCATCTTTTTAGGAAGAGGCAGCCACAAGTCTGACGACAACCAGGACCTAACCGTGAGCTAGATCCGAGTCCCGCAGCACCTTAGAGGCCAACACGATTTTGGGGGAATGAGCTTCCGAGAGGCCAAGCTCCCTTCATCAGATCAGTCGGAAGGGGGGGGGACCCCTGTGTCCTTTCGGCCCCCGTTCTGGCTTTTGCACCTGACCGAGGGAGCTCTGACTCTTGGAAGCCCATGGCGCCCCCCCCCCCCCCAAATCTAGCCGTTCTGCTGCAGACCAACGTAGCTGCCCACTGAAACTATTATTAGTTTATTATTCATTATTGGTTTATTACTGTGGCTTTATTATTCGAGCCGGTTTGTTGTAGTGTTTAGGAGTGTGGACTCTGATCTGGGAGAACCAGGTTTGATTCCCCAGTCATCCACATGCAGCCAGCTGGGTGACCTTGGGTCAGTCACAAGTTCCCATCAGAGCTGTTCTCTCGAGAGCAGTCCTCGAAAGAGCTCTGTCAGCCCCACCCACCTCCCAGGATGTCTGTTGCGGGGAGGGGAAGGGAAAGGAGATTGTGAGCTGCTCCGAGACTCCTTCGGGTAGTGAAGGGGGGGGGTATAAATCCAATCCTCCTCCTCCTCTTGCTCCTCTAGCTGCAGAAGTTTTTTTCCCCTTTTCCTTCCCTGATCCCTTTTGAGGGCCAACCCCTTTGAACTGAGCCTCATTCCCAAAAGAGAGAGGCCCTGAAAGGCACAGGGTGGGGTCTAACTTGAGTGTGCCTCCTCCTCCTTTCTTAGGAGCAAATGAAACCTTTTGCATTAGTAAAGCCACAAACGCCTCGCAGGGTCTCTAGGATGCCTCTGCTCCTCTCCCCTCCCGCGAGCACCCAGCCTGGCCTTATGTTTTCTGTTCTGTTTCGTTTTAAAGAAATCATCGATCACCTGCATGAAGTGACCCTTCCGAAGCTAAAAGCGTTGCTGAAATCGAAAAGGGCAGGTGGTGCCGCCAGAGCGCAAGCCACTCCCGTCAAGAAGCAGAGGAAAGTGTTTCAGCTCCAAGACATCTTTCAGGAGAGCAGCGACGAGCTGATAGATGATTCTGAGGATGAGCTGCAGGCAGAGGGCGGCGCAGGTGGCTCGGGAGAGCTTCTGACCGGAAGGAAGGAGGGGCAGAGCGGAGGCCCAGAGAGAAAATAGTAGATAAGAGTTTTATTTTTATGGCGTTTCGTATTGGATCCCTGGCAGCTTCGGGTAAGCGGTATGGAAGTGGAGGGCAGGCTCCCCCCCCCCCCCGGTCTGACAGCCACCGTCTCTCCCCTCTGCTGGTGGACCCTCCCTCAACAAAGATGCAAACTTTGCATCTCCTTGTGATCAGTATGCCCTGTATTTGCACAGAGACGGCATTGGCGCCATTCAGGGCTGGCGCAAGGGCACTGTGGCACCACCGGCCAGCCACTGGGGCAGGCGCACGCACACACAAAACCCACCCGAGCCCCGGAGACGGAGGGCCAGGAGTGCAGCGGAGCTGGCTGCCGCCTGCTCTTCTTCCGTCCCTCCCTCTCTTGCAGGGTGCGGCGGGGGAAGGAAGCTGGGTAAGTTGCGGCACTCCAAGCCTCCTCACCCTCCCCAGACGGTGGGTCTGGCAGCTGCCTGCTGTCCCTCCTTCACCAGAGACGGTGATTAGGGCTACCTGGGCGGTGGCACTGGGACAGGGGTTGCTCCTCAGGCTGCCCTGGCAAGCATTGGTCGGTGTTCCTGGCCGCCTGGCACCCTAGGCGATTGCCTAGGTCTGCCTAATGTGTGGGCCGGGCCACCCTCAGTTCCATGAATGCACAACTGCCGTCTTTGCTAAACGCCAAGGGATTTTCCAGCAATGCAGGGTCCAGGTCTGCCCACTGATCAGTCGGCAGGCCATTGGTGGACCTTAACATTCCAGCCACTTTTTTACGGGGTATGACTGACCCTCAGCCTGACCCAACAGTCCTCTGGTGCAGATGCTGGGTCCAGTCAGTGCGGAACTCTGTAGGACCCAGCCTTGCCGGAGAGAGAGAGCAAGAGAGAGAGATCCTCTTACGGGTAGGCACTTGGGTAGGATCCTACCCCTGGTGGGTGATGAAGGAACCTTCCGTGGATCGGCAGACTAAATTCCAGACACACAGGCTGCAAGTGGCCAGGCTGCCTTCTCTCAAACCACCAGCTTGCATCTTTTTTCGAGCCCGTCTGCTTAGACATGGAGCGGGGCGGGGATGCCGTCATCGATCTGAAGTTGCAGTTTTATGTTCCTTTGAGGGAAATAAACACCACTGAGCACAGTGGGACTTGTTTCCAAGTAGACTTTTCTAGGATTGGACCGTAAAGTTCGTTTTTGGAAGGAAAAGCTGGATTTAAAATTTCTCTCCTGTTGGATACGAACGCCCCTTCTTTTAGGGGCACCTTAGGGCCTTTTTCTGAAGGCATGAACCTGTGCAACTTTTTTTGGACTTAATCAGGCGCTGGTTTCTGGTCTCCGTGTGAGAGAGGAGGTTCCAGAGCCCACCTGCCCTCTGGCTTGGCCCTGTGTGGGGCCGGGCTATGCCAGGGCCCTCCGAGAACCTGCTCTCCGCCCGGACGTCTGGGGCACAAAGGGATGTTCAGGTCTGATCATCAGTTCCCACCTGGGCGACAGCGGGTCGACGTTCTTTCTGTGCAAACCAAAATCCCCGTCCAGTACAGGATGCAGAAGCAGACTGGCCCAGCTTCTAGAACCAAGTTGTGCTCTGGTGCTGCCTGTGTTTTTGAATAGCCCGGTACAGTCAGGAACTGAAGGAGCTTCAGAATTCACCGTTCCAGGGAGCAATGCCTTTGGTGTGCAATTCGTTCCGTCGTCACCAGGGCTACTTATCCTCAATTTAAAGTGTGTTGGCTGCCCCCCCAGGGCGTGCGCTTGTTGATAAACGATATTTCTATGCAAATAAATGTTATTTTTTAAAAACTTGGGACTTTTTTGCTTCAGGTATATCTCTGTTGGACATTTAATTTTTTTTTTTTTTAAGTGAACAATTATGTCGTGAAGTTCTCCTCTGTACTCACCGTTCTTCTACCGGTTCCTCTTTTGCCTTGCATCCAGTGTTCCCTCTAAGCTGAGTTAGGGTGAGCTAGCTCACATTTTTTTAGCCTCCGGCTCACACACTTTTGCCTTAGCTCAGGAAGGATGGCTCCAGAGCAAACTAATTTATGCAGCAGCCAAATCGCTCTCTCACCACTTTAATGCCGGCAGCTCACAAAGTAGTTTTTTTGCTCACAAGACTCCACAGCTTAGAGGGAGCATTGCTTGCATCCCAGGGTTGGGTCCTCCACGAAGCCCCAATGACCCTGCTCAGTGGAAGCAGCCTGACTTGGGCGTTCAGGGCTGCTGTGGAGGCGGCCGAGAGCTGAGAAGGAGCTGCGGTGGACACTCCTTCGGTTCTGGCGCCGGTGGCACAACCATAGCAATGGAGGAACCAAGCCAAGATGCCGCGGATGGCACTGTGAACAAGAGCAGTAGCCATATATTTTTAAATTAATTTGTACCCTTCCTTTCTCCCTAGTGGGGACCCAAACCGGGTAACGTCCTTCTCCTCTCCTCCATTTTATCCTCACAATAACCCTGTGAGGTAGGTTAGGCTGAGGGAGTCTGGCCCAAGGTCACCCAGCGAGCTTCCATAGCACAAGCGGGGATTCGAACCCAGGTGTCCCAGATACCATTCCGACACTCTTAACCTCTGCACCGCACCGGCTCTCACCTTCCTAGAACTGTCCTGGTAAAGTTTTGTAGGAGGAGTAGGAGTAGATTTATTGCATTAATCCAGTGGCCATTACAAAATGCAGAATACAGCAGAGCAATAATAAAAAGTTAGAAACCACCATTCGTATCCGGGTTAATATTAACTTCAAATCAGTAATAAAAAGAAAGATAAAGCAGTTTTGATTACCATCAGGGTGCCTGCCCCTTAGATCTAATCTTAGACGCTGCTAAGGCAAACAAGGAGACGCTATAGGATAGAGAAGCATCATTATCTGAGAGCAAGAACGCAATCTTCTCAGTTTCTGAATATGCTTGCGTGACCGATAGAAATCCTGCTAAAAATTTCTCTCTTGGAGTGCTATATAGTGGACAGTAGAGCCTTTAGTGAGGAAGGTTCTCCAGCTCTGGCAAACCACAAGTGCAGAAACGTTGCTCTTTTGGAGTATGCGAATAACGACCAGCCAAAAGAGCTGTTTGCATAGTTTGGAATCATAAAGCTGTGAAGGACACTCTTAAGATTATAGTTAGAGATGTTGACTAGGTAGTTCGACCTAATAAAGTTTTGTAATGTACTATTTTCTTTTATTTTTTTAAAAAATTAAAGACTGTATCATTATGCCGGACATTACATGCTTAATGTCAACGGGTTTCAGTATCTAAAAAGGTAAATGTTCCCTTGCTTGAAAGCCAGTCGAGTCCGACTCATCTCCATTTCAAAGCCGAAGAGCCAGCGCTGTCTGAAGACGTTTCCGTGGTCATGTGGCCAGCATGACTAAACACCAAGGCGCACGGAATGCTGTTACCTTCCCACCGAAGTGGTCCCTATTTATCTACTTGCAATTTCTTGCTTTTGAACTGCTAGGTTGGCAGGAGTTGGAACTAGAGACGGGAGCTCACTCCGTCATGTGGCACACTTGGGTCTCGAACTGCCGAACTACCGACCTTCCACAGCCTGCAGTTCAGCATCTTAACCTCTTGAGCCACTGCCATATCTACTGAGCCTTAAAATTGCTGTGCTGAACCAAAGGGCCCCAGCAGCTAGCAGTCCTGCTAAGCCTTAATTCCACAGAGGGGTGGGATCCTGGAGTTCCAAGAGACTAGCCCACGATTCTGGGGGCAAATGCACAAGATAGAGGGACCACCTGCTCTTGCCTGCCTTCTTGACCGCACAGCTTCTCACTGTCTTCATTTCCGCTTGTTCAGTTTCACGTATTCAAAGAAATATTATTCTCAAAAAGGATTCTCCGTTGAACTGGAGAGGAAAGCAATGTAACAGTTACATACTGTTTTAGCTGTGTAAACGTCTAAATTAGCTTGTAGTTGACATGCATTCCCCACCCCACGTGTCTGCCAGTTGCTTTCCTTCTCTGAGCATTCCAGACAGGACAGCAGCCGCCTTTGGTGCATAAGGTTATGTATGCTGATGAATTTCTGTCGGGAGGTCTGTTGCAGCCAAAACAGGAGTCTTGTGGCACCTTAAAGCTTCTAGTGGCAGAAGCTTTTGTGATCGAAAGCCCACTTGTTCAGATGCATGAAGTGCTGCTCTCAGTTGGCAGAAACAGAATGTGTATTGTGCGTGTACATGTGCCGGGGGGGGAGGGGGGCAAAGGGAGAGATGCTATGCCAAAGCAAGGCCAGAAGGCTGGACGTAGGCATATGATCCTACAGAACACAAATGAAAACAGAAGATCCAAAAAAAGGAGCAAAATACCTGGCTGTGGATGAATTTGGCAGTGCCAGATGAACAGTGTCCATAAACGTCAGAAGAGAGAGGATAGCGCGCCACCCTTGCTCTGCTTGGATCCTTTCCTCTTTTGACTGGCTGTTTTTATCCTTTACGGTAACTTTCTCTTGGCTTGTCTGGCCACCTGGCCTCACTGTTATAATATTGTACTATGTGCATGCGCACACCCTTTTCTTACGTCTGCACCCTTATGTGTGCATATGATTGCTGCTAACTGGGGAGGGGTAAAGCTTCATGCATCTGACAGAGTTGATTCCGACCCATAAACCTCCTGTGCATGCTCAGCATGCGCGTCCTGTATATGTGCCGTGAGAACATGGTTGTTTTTGTGTGTCGGTAAGGGCACCAGGTTGGTGAGCTGCGGTGGCTCAAGTGGTTAAGACACTGAACTGCAGGCTGTGGAAGGTCGGTAGTTCAGCAGTTCGAGACCCAAGTGTGCCGCATGATGGAGTGAGGTCCCGTCTCTAGTTCCAGCTCCTGCCAACCTAGCAGTTCGAAAGCAAGAGATTGCAAGTAGATAAATAGGTACCACTTCGGTGGGAAGGTAACAGTATTCCGTGCGCCTTGGTGTTTAGTCATGCTGGCCACATGACCACGGAAACGTCTTCAGACAGCGCTGGCTCTTCGGCTTTGAAACGGAGATGAGCACCGCAACCCTAGAGTCGGATTTGAGTGGCTTTCGAGCAAGGGAACCTTTACCTTTTAAGGGCACCAGGTTGGTGACTGGAATGCCAAGTTGGTGTCTGCTCTTTACCAGCTGCATGGGTCCTCCTTGAACTGGTGGCAACTGACTCCCCCTCAAATCCACACCGGTTTGGAGAGGCCAGTACAGTCTACAGCAAGGGGAGGAATAATCTTCTGTTGTGAGCTAAAAGATAAATAAGGTCTTTGCAAGGAAATAATCAAAGTTCAGTCTTCCTGCAAATCGGCCAAGATTGCAGGGAATGGTACTCCCATGCCCTGACCTGGATAGCCCAGGATAGCCCTATCTTATCAGATCTTGGAAGCTAAGCAGGGTCAGCCCTGGTCAGTATTTGGATGGGCAACCTCCAAGGAATACCAGGGCTGTGGCGCAGAGACAGGCAATGGCAAACCACCTTTGAATGTCCCTTGCCTTGAAAACCCCACGAGGGGTCACCATAAATTAGCTGTGACTTGACAGCAAAAAAGAGAAACGATACTCCCAGAAGAGGAGAAGAAGAGGAGATCAGATAAATACCCCGTCCTTCACTACCCAAAGGAGTATCAGAGTGGCTTACAAATCCTTTCCCTTCCCCTCCCCACAACAGGCACCCTGTGGGGTAGGTGGGGCTGAGAGAGCTCTTTGGAGAACTGCCCTTGAGAGAACAGCTCTGACAGAACTATGGCTTGCCCAAGGTCATCCAGCAGCTGCAAGTGGAGGAGTGGGGGAATCAAACCCGGTTCTCCCAGATCAGAGTCCGCACACTTAACCACTACACCAAACTGGCTTGTAGTGGGACCGAGCCTGATAAACCAGTGAGGAGGCTTGAGATGGATGGTCAGTACAAAGGGGACATGTTTCAAGGGCACGAGGGAGGGGGCCCTCACAGGCAGCAGTTTGATTTGAGTCCGGGAGCCCCTCGGAGAGAAAGAGCTTCAGGGTATGCACTTTGGAGACTCAGCACGCCCTTTGTCAGCACGGGCAGCAGTTGGGCCTGGACTATCACTAAGCCAGTCCCACGTCATCCTGTCTTCCTTTTTAAAACTCTACAAACTTCAGACCAGGGGAGGGACGGCTGGCCAGTGGCCTGAATCCTGATGTGGACTGAGGGGAGTGCTCCGGGCCACGACCCCAGTGTGGAGGCAGGTGCATGCCGAAGGCCGGATCCTGGACTGTGTTGTTTAGCAGGCTCCAGAAAAGGGGGGGGGGGCTTTTTGGCCTAAGATCGCCGAGCTCAGGCAGGGTGGGGACGTTTTATCCTGTTTCAATCGATCTGTTCCTTAATTTACAAAACGGTGCCCTGCATTTTTGGCCTTAAAAGGGCCACCGAGGTGGCTAAAGATCTAAAGACCTGTGTGACAAAGTCACCTTTGGAAACCATCAAGGTGAAATCCACCCCCCCCCCAAAACACACATTACAACAACAATTAAAAAAACCCCGCAATCAAAACACTGGAGGGGGGTGAGGGGAAGAGGGCTGGTGCCCTGGCACTGCCCTGTGACGCCCTGGCACTGTCTTGGTGCGGCGGCCGCGTCCTCTCACTTCCCGGGCGTCTGGGGTTGCTCTGCGAACACTGTTAGCGTTCTGCGTTGCTATGGGAACCAGCCCTGCCATTCCCCGGAGGGGGAGATTCTTTCCCACAAGGGAGGCCCTTTCAAGGCCAGAAACCAGACGGGCAGCCTCCCCCCTGGTGAAGGCTGGTGAATTTGGGGGGGCTTTGTCAGGGCAGGGGGGCTGGATGTGAAGGGAAGCCTTCCTCTCCTTCCCCGGCCTTCTCCGCTGCCTCCCTCTCCCCAGAGTGGCACAGCCCGAGGGAGTTAAGGAGCCCACAGCCGTCCCTGCAAGCCAAAGAGGAGGCAGCCGGCACTGCAGGGTGGCCCCTCCTGACCTCCAGCTGCCATGGCTGCCACCACCGCCGTCACCCAGAAGCCCCCCGCCAAGGAGCACTTGCCTCGGCGGCGCAGCGTGAGCCAGATCTGTCCCCCGCCGCGGCGGCCGATGACCCTGGCGGAGGTGTACCCGGGCAGTGAGAACGAGCGACTGGGCGTGGTGCGTGAAAGCATGCTTCAAAACCATCTCATCAATAAGGTGAGCAAACCAGGGGGGGTAAGGGGGTGGAGAGGTTGGCCCCCTCCTCCTCCTCCTCCTGAGCACCCCCAACCAGGTCCGCAAGCCCAACTGACTTCTAAATGGCCATTCTCTTCCCCCACACACCTGCACGCCAGCTCCTTGGCTCTCCCTTTCAGTGGACCTCGCTTCCTGTCGAGGGGATATCTTCTCCTGTGTCTTTGTGACATGGCCCAGGTATCCACCCAGCAAGGGAGCCGGAAGCGTTTGCCGTTGGCCTTGCCGGAATTTAAGCCCTTTGTCAAAGGGGTTTTAGCTTTCGTCTTTCGGGAAGCACAAAACAATGCGCCTCACGTGGCTGGGCCACACGCTGTGTACGAGTGCGTCGGCCTTGACATTCGAAAGCGGTTGGTTTCGGACTTGTTCTCCTGACCAAAAACTCTGCATGAACGTGTGGCTGCCGCTGGGAACCCGACTGTCAGGTTCCACAGCCAACAACGGAGTACACGCTTATCAGAAAGGTTATACTTTATTGAAGAGCCATAGATGCATTAACAGAAGCACTGTTAAGAATGGCGTCGCCCCTACAAGCAAACTGGGATATAGGGCATTCGTATGCACCTATCTATGGCTCTTTGCATTTGTGTTCCCTGTATAGACCTCATTTCCTGCCTCTTCCAATCACGGCTGGCTCCTCCAGTCAAAAGCAGGACAATTACTTTAGGGTGGCAAAGGTTGGCATGTGGGGAGCGAAGATTTTGCTACAGGGTTTTTTGTGAAATAGAAGAGAAGGGTTGTTTTTTTTAAAAAAAGCAGTTTATATGCATACTTATGGGCTGATATGATGTAGTCATTTAAGACAGGGGTCCCCCAACCTGACTTCTGGAATTCTGAGAAGGGGTAGTGGATGCCACCGTGAGTCAGTCACCCATAAAGATGATGCCCCGGGCACCAAAGGGGTGGGGGAAAGCCAGGGTTGCAGTTGGGTTTTGGTTTCCAGCAAAATGGGTGGGATTGGCTCTCGGCATAGGCACATGGAGAGGTTTACAAGCCCAGAGGCATAAGGACGTCTATGTCTATATCCAAAACGGGGGTGACTGGGAATGGCAGGCCTGCCCAAGATGAGCTCAAATGCTTGGCTAGTTAACTGCCCCCCGCCCCAAATTCCATGCAAGACCCTTTGGAGTTCTACCCCCAAGATCCAAGAAGCCAGCAGGCACCAAAAAGCAAACAGGTAGGCCCCTTGCCATTCGCATTTGCCTCACTGGAGATATATTTATTTACTTCCCTATACCCTGCTTTTCTCCCTAATGTGGACCTAAAGCGGTTTACATCATTTATCCTCACAACGACCCTGTGAGGTAGGTTTAGGCAGAAAGGGTGTGACTGGCCCAAGGTTACCCAGCAAGCTTCCATGGCAAAGTGGGGCTTCGAAGCTGGGTCTCCGAGACCCTAGTCTGACACTTTGACCACTACATCACACTGGAGATCGCTGGGCTAGAGTGTAGGGCTGGGGAGACCCAGGTTCGAATCCCTGCTTTCTGTGAAACTCATGATATGACTTGGGGCCTGTCGTTCTCATTCAGTGTGGTCTCTCTTACACGGGTTTGGTGAGGATAAAGTGCAAGGGGAGTACGAAGGACAGGGTGAAAATAGAGACTTTTCCTCATAAAAAGGTAGAATTGGAAGATACAGAATAGGTTAGGGGGTACATTTTACCAAACTCCCAGGCGCCAGTGGCCTTGAGTAGAGAATGAAAAATGGAGGGGCTCCCTCATGTTACCCTTCTGAGGAGGGGCAAACTTGGTGAAGGAAAGGCCTGAGGCAAAATAAGCCCACCTGTCTTAGCTGAATCTATTTAAACCTCACAAGCAGGCAGAGTACCGGTCCATTCTGGATGTGCGTTCTGACATAAAAAGGGTTTATGTTTAAATTATTTACACATGAATACATATATCATTTTGAGCGTCAGCCCGAGCCTATTTTCCTTCAAGCCCGTGCTTTCCTGTCACTCAACATCCACCCTGCCTCATACGCAATCTTTGCTGAAGAAGCCAATCTTCATTATCTGGTGGCCACCTTGTCGCAACGAGGCCCTTTTAGCCTCGAGTTTTGCTGAGAATTAACCGTCCAAACGGTCTCCTTGGTGCCAGAAAACAGAGGAGGGAAATAACCCAGAAGTCATGATGTTCTTCAGAAGGCGAGGCCTATCAAAACCAAGAGGCCACCACCAATGTTCCCTCTAAGCTGTGGAGTCCTGTGAGCAAAAATTCTACTTTCTGAGCTACCGGCATTAAAGTGGTGAGCGAGCAATTTGGCTACTGCATCACTCAGTTTGCTCTGGAGTCCTCCTTCCTGAGCTGAGACAAAAATGAGTGAGCTGGAGGCTAAAAGACCATGAGCTAGCTCACACTAACTCAGCTTAGAGGGAACACTGGCCACCACCAGGCATCAGTCCGATCAAATGAAAAAGACGGCAGGTCAGCATGTATCCTTCACAGTTTACACAGGATTTTAGAACAAATTTAGAGTCCGGTGGCACCTTTAAGACCAACAAAGGTTTATTCAAGGGATGAACTTTCGTGTGCAAGGCATAAACCTTTGTTGGTCTTAAAGGTGCCACCGGGACTCTAAATCTGTTCTACTGCTTCCGACCAACACAGCTGACCCCCTGGAACTATCTACACAGGATTTTAGAGTTATGGGCACCGATCAGGAGCTGACCACAGTTGCCACACTGAGCACTAGAGGGCAGCCTCGGATGCTGTAATCGTTTTCAGGCCAGGCCGACTTTCTGCTCGGGAACCCAGATTTTGCCAGGTGTAGGGATGGAAAGAAACCCCCCGGCCTTCACTTCGCAAGACTTGAGCAAGGCTGTTAATGATAGGGGCATTTGGGAAGTTGTTAACTCATAGGGTTGCTATAGGTCGGAAGCAACTTGACAGCACACCTGACACAGGTAAAGAGCCTGTGGTGGTACTGCCTGTTCTTGGCTAGAGAGAACTGTCTTATTACTAGGGTTTCCAGGTACCCTCTGTCTGCAGGCAAGGGATGGGGGGTGATAAGAGTTGCCATCTCCAGGTTGGGAAACTCCTAGAGATTTGGGCCACAGAGCCCACCCTCGAAAGCATCCCTTTTCTCCAGGGGAACCGATCTCTATAGTCTGGAGATGAGCTGTAATTCTGGGGGATCCCCAGGTCCCACCTGGAGGCTGGCATCCCTACTTATGACCTTTGTACTCGTGTCCAGCAGGGAGCGATGGTCCCTCTAAGCTGCGGAGCCCTGTGAGCAAAAATTCTACTTTGTGAGCTACTGGCATTCATCAAAGTTGTGAGCGAGCGATTTGGCTACTGCCTCAATTAGTTTGCTCGGGAGCCATCCTTCGTGAGCTAAGGCAAAAATCTGTGAGCTGGAGGCTAAAAAACTGTGAGCTGGCTCGCACTGACTCAGCTTAGAGGGAACACTTTGAATAGCTGAGGAGGGCCACGCATTGGGCACGCCAAATGAAGAATCAGCCTGCCTTGAAACATTCAAATTGTGGACGCTTTTCATGTTCCCAGTTCCCTTCGGTTATACAGCACTATAACCAGAGTCTTCCGGAATCCTGGCTAGGGTCAAGGACTGGAGCAATCATATATCATATAGGGGTGATCTCAAGTAAAGGGAGGAGGTTTGATAAAATCTGGATGGTTCTGGATTCCAAATGGGATGGGGTGGGGGGGGGGGGGAGAGGCAACTTTGTCCCCTTAAGGAGATTCCAGAATTATGGCAGGAAATTGTGTTTCACTGAAGACGGGCATGTCTCCTCTTTCAGATTGCTGTTATATTGGTTGAAGGTGGGATCCCTTTTAGTAAAGCGAAGGGAGCAAGGGCCTTCTTGGTCATGGCACCAAAGTTATGGAATTCCCTTCCTAGAGAGATCCGTCTGTCTTGTCTTTCTGTCCCCTTCGATCAGTGTTTTCCACTGGGAGAGGAAGACTTTTCACGTGGCGTTCCCTCACTGAGCCTCCTTCCTATTTATGTATTTAATGGTTTGTGTTTTCTTTAATTGTTGTTTTCGATGGTTTTTATAATTTATGTGTTTTAAACAACATTGTTTTAAGGATTTACATCGTTTGCTGCATTGGGGGCCCTGAAGGGTGGGAAGCATGGGAAGAATGCGGCAATTGGGGTAGAAAGGCAACAGAACAATGGCACTCTCTGCACGCGTACTTTGCCTCGGTTTCTGAGCGCATGCTATTCTTCCATTCTGCATTCCCTCCCGCTTTCCCTTCCAGTTCGTGTTGGGGCTTTTTCTTGTTTCTGCATTTGTTTCACAGGAATCTGCATTCAGACCTCTTCCAGCACATTGTTTCCCTGCAATTACCAAAACTCCTTTTGCTGAGATTCTTCGTTCTCATCCACTTTTGAATAGCTGATCCTTTCTAAAGTAAAGTTGTTTCTGCGGGTATTTAAGTGCTGCCCAGTGCCCTCCCACATTTCTGCCTCTCTAGGTTGATGCTCCCTCCCTGTTCTGTTTTCTTTCCCTCCTTCTCCAAAGACAAAGGAGGACATGTCCTCCAGCTCAGGCAAATTTTTAAAAAGCCAGAGAGAGCATAAGAAGGAATCAGTAAATATAAAGGGCAAGGGGATTCCCTGCTCCCAAATGTGTCAGTCTTACATGTGTGGGCTTGGATTTCCCCCTCCCTTCCCTTTTTTTTTGCAAAATCACGGAGGGAGGGAGGGAGGGAGGGATTGGATCTGCAGTTAAAAGTTCTGAGAGGTGTTTGCCTTTCTTTTCCTCTTCAGCACAGCAGCCAGTTAGCTCAAAAATTGCACATTGTGCTTGTGGATGCAGAATGCATATAGAATACACAAATAAATAAACCAGAGGGGGGGGGACCAGTGCAGAGGGAATGCACGCGACTGCAAAGTCAACCCCTAAGGCTTGACTCCTCAGATTCTCTGGAGCAAGATGTCAGTGCAGAAAAGGCCAATGTTTTAAATAAATATTCCTTGCAAAGAAAATCTCAAGCATTTGT